AATAAGACTTTCTGAAAAAAAGCATTGAAATTTATAAACACATTTTCATGTATAACATTATGATGGATCAAATTACCAGTGAAGCTGACCTCAAAGTTTCAGTTCTCCAATGGACTTGATCCTAAAGAACAACCCTTCTTATTTCTGCCATTCATTTCTAATAAATGGCTGTAGGCAGAGGGGAAACAGTTATTGTCATTCTCCCCTTTTAATTTTCCTTAGAATCGGTGTAATAGTTGTTCATCATTTTAGTTATTGATTTCATGATGTGTTAAACTTGTTTTAATGGTCCTTCTTGGATACACGTGCTTTCAAGATGTTCTTTTTAAACTTGTTAGTAGAGAAATAACAAAAATTAAAAAACTTTTACTGTGTTGAGGAAACAACAAAAATCACCTTTTAAAGCTTGCAGTTATTAATTCAGTACTTTAATGAATTCTGTTCGGAGTTCATTTTAGTAGATTTAATTTGTAGAGATAATGTAAAGAAATTGAAATTTGTGAAGTAACAACCTAAAATAATTTTTTAGGAGCAACCTTTTTGAAGTTGGCTTGTGGCAATTTAGTCATTGAAACCATAGTGGGATATGAAGTAGTTGACAGGTAAGTTAAATCTCCCAGGAGATTGTAGTGTTTTGTCCCATAACAATGTCAGAAATTATTTGTATTAGTTCTGTAAACTTTCTGATTTTTGAATTTGTATAAATTGTGTATGTTCAAGATTATATTAATGTACCATTCTTAATTGCCCTTTCATACAGTTGCTTAAACATTAGCTTTATTCCTACATTCTGTAATGTCCATAGCAAATAGTTCAATTTCAGCTTAAACTTTAGTCCTTCGAGCCTCCCAGTAAATGTATTAAATCGTATGCTTTGAAAGTGGTGTGTGTGAAATGACTTTCAAACAACCTGAACTACACTTGTATAGTTTTGTTTTCTGAAATTTGTAGAAAAGGATAGTTCTTCACTGTAATGGTAATCAAGTTTAAAGTGGTAAATATTCCTTGTAAAATGTTACCCTATTATGGTCCTAACAGTAGTGATTTTGAGTATTTCAGGTTGTATAATTAGTCTTGGCAAAGAAAGTGGGCAGAAAAACTTTCATGTTGCAGTATTTAGCTTCATGTTTTAATAAATTTGGACAAGTAGCATGCTATTGGACAAAAACAAGATAAAGTAGTGAAAATTAGGCTTTAAAAATGCATATAAAATAAGCAACTTCTATTGATCTTTCAGATTACTGTAACTTGCTAAGATTTTAAATTTATATATTTTTTTTTATTTAAAGATGAACCATCTTCTCACCAAAAATGACCAGTAGTTGTAGCTGAAGTCCCCAATACTTAAAGGACCAGTGAGTTGGTACATGTGTTGGAAGACTACGTGTGAAAAAAATTTTCCTGTTCAAATCTCCTTTTGCCAAAAGGTATTTAAAAAGGAATATCTGGCAGTTTGGGACTCGTGTATTGTAAGAGAAATATGTCATAATTCTTAGCATATGTCATAAAGTGGTCTAAGGAAAATATATCTACAGGTCGAAACACAAGCCATACATTCTGTGCTTCATCCCCAAATATATTGGTACAGATATGCCGATGACACTTTTGCTGGTTTCACTTCT